GTTGAGAAACTTGGGCTAGAAACGGCCCTGCGCTAAAAAGGCTCAGTTGGTTCAAGTAGGCCTTTGGGGTTTAGGAAGTTTAGGGTACAGATTATTCATTGAAGTAGGCCTTTAGGGTTTAGGGTTTAGGGTACAGAGCATTTGTTGAAGTATTTGTTTGTGGGGTTTAGGGTTTAGATGGGTTTAGGGTACAGATTATTGGTTGAAGTATTTCTATGAGGTTTAGGGTACAAGGTACAGATTGCTGGTAGCTAAAGCCAGCACAGCAACCAATCAGGTATCCATGCACTTTGAGGAGAATCTTTTCTGGCAAGGGCTCACTCCCTGAAAAAGCTGAACTTCAGATTCAACAACTTGTGCACTTACAAAAGTGCATTTCGCTTGAAGCTCAGGTACCAATCACCGTCTGGCCCCTGAACACTGACCTTTCCCAACACCCCGGCAGCTCATCTAAACCAGAAAACAGCAGGCTGAATTATCATGATGTCGCCCTTCTATTGCCATGGTGTACGGCACCTTAAGCTAGCAACCTGTCTGACCAGGTCCCCATTGCCCCCTACCTCCCCTTTAATCTCCCATCCCCTTCGCTCCGGATGTAGAAAGCGAGCGCCGCAGGGCGCCAGGATCTGGGCCATTTGCTGCGGGCCGAGGTCCTGTGTGATGCCCTCTCTCGTGGGATTCGGGTAAGATGTGGAATTTTTTGTGTAGGTTGCGATTTGTGCGAAGAGAAATCAATCAGAAAGGTTCAAAAACAGATACGTGAAACCCAAACATTTAGGAGGCCAATTGGGAGGGCAATGTCCAAGGTTGCACGCGGGCCTTTGAGTGAGCTGCAGGGGATGTAATTTAGGCGGACCCCCCACCCTGTAATAGTGACTATGAGGGATAAGAAGGACTATATTAGAGTCCTATTAAATTCCTATTATACCACTATTACAGGGTGGGGGGTCCTCCTAAGATATAATGCCTGGTATGGCAAACCCTGACATGGTTTGACTGCATGAAGCTGCGCGAGCTGCTCCGTAGCCAGATTGCTTTGGAAACTTGCTGACTCATGGGCGTCAATATACCCTTGCCCTAAACCTTAATGCATGTCATATGAACCTGCCCGGGAATGAGAGGAAGGCTTACATTGCAACAAGGTATGACAACAATTATGCAGTTATGGCCTGACCGACTGCCCAGACTTTTGCATTCAAATGGATTTTGCCCGCGCAGGCACAAGCCAGATCGAAGTCTGGTTGCAGCATGCTGTACCAAGCAGCACAATGCCAAGAAGAGCACACCTTGGGTCATTCCCCCTTACAGTAGCTGTTACCACAATGGGTCATAGGAGTTATAAGAACCCCCTAATAAGGCCCCTTTAAGGACAGTTTCTGGGAGGGGGAATGACCCAAAGCACACCCAAAAAAGCGAACCGTTGCATACCCATCAGAATCCTACGACAAACCTTAAACCTGAAAGGAGCCTTTCTTCTTGGCAGCTCCTGAACTCAGCTAAAACCTCAGTTTCAGTTACAACGCCCAAAAAGGCTCCTCGAAGACGCGGTCGTGATTCCCACCTGTCAACCAGAATTAAGGTCGCTCATGCAGCCCTTTTTGCCATGGTACAAGAATTTCCATGATTTTTTCAGAATATGAAGCCCTTCAAATTGTATACAATCTAAAGTTTTCTTGGGCAGGGAGCGAACGAAACATGTCAAACGAAGTTATCAAAGGAGCAGCTACAGTTACAGCAACAAAAATGCTAAGCATACTTCAGCAGCACCCCAAGCCCTAAACCCTACATATCCTTATATATTCCAAGTAAACCCTCTATATACATACCACATGACCCCGATTAAAGGTACAATAACTCCAAGTTTGGCATGCTGAGCTGCTACGGGCGGGGATGCAATCTCCGTTGGCTACTCTGGGCAGGCCTGAACTCTCCAACTGTGGATTAGGGTTTAGGGTTTAGGGTCCCTGGTTGCCCATCTATGACAGCTGCACGGCGTTAACTATGCAATGTACTTCAAAGAGAAAGCTGGTTTCTCTCCGTTTTTCGTGACACAACATAGTCAACCACAGTACCCGGTGGGTAGGCTGCAACTGTGGATCCCCGAAAAGGGATCTTATACTGTTGGAAGCCATCCATTTCAGGGGAGGGGAGAAATCACAAATGTCACCTTGCTGGCTGCCTGTGACCAACTTTTCCTGGTGCGGCTGCGTCTTGAGCCAGGATGCAAAGTCCTCTTATACTGGTGTTTTAAGGCAAAGGGGCAGGGTCAATCTGGGTAGCCTGAAAGGCGTATACCATCTACTGGGATGACGTCCTACAGGTGTAGGGTTTAGGGGTAAGGTTTAGGGTTAAAGGGATAGCTATAGTGGCCCACTTCCCCTTTAGGTAGCAGTATGTCCTTGAGCTCCTCAAGGCCATGCGCCCACTCCTTTGCAAAAGAATGCCCACTTGATTGACATAGACTGGGCTTGCGTGATGGCAGCTTTGCAGCAACACGCCAAGGATTCCTTGTCCTACTTCTATTACCCCTTTACAGTTTACATGTCATGCTCCACTTGATTTCCACTTGATTTCGTGTTTGACTCTCCGCTATGGGAACATTTTTTGAACATCCAAGCTTGAAGGTTCCAGGCTGACCATTTGCTTGGCTTGGCTTAAGGTCCACTGCTTTGCAAAGGGCGGACACTGGCCTGATTTTAATTGCCCTGGTATGTACAATTTCGCCCCTTGCTCCTATCTGGGCCACACATGTCGTCATTTTCAACTTACGACAATCCCATGCCCAGGACCGACAATGTGTTTGCACACAGCACCGCGGGAGGGTCTCCGTGTTGGCGAGAGATGGACAGGATTAACCACATGACTGTTCATAGTTGTTTTTGACTACAGACAGTACGCCACTTAGGCCTCAAGCCTTTTTGGCCTAAGCTGGTACTACGAAGACATCTCAGGCCGTATGGCCCTTCCCTGTACTAGCAAGCTTCATAGCATAGAGCTTTAGGCACTCACATTGACGGACGCCGGAATGAGAGGGCCTGCTCCGTGTCATGAGCAAGTCACAACCACTTTCCGCTCGTTTCTGCCATGGCTCTGCTAAGCAATCTCCGGCGTGGATCAAGACATCTCCAGAAGGAACGTAAAGTTGCCAGTGGTAGAGATGTGTATCCTGAGGGTAGTGCAATGACACTTTCTTCAACCCATCTCATATTATGTGATCTGCTGTTGTTTATGCTGTTCCTTTGCTACGGTTCTGGACTGGTGTCAGTATCGCGCATGGCTTTCCACACCTCCTCCTTCCGACCAACCGAATCAAGGGAGCCTACAGTTGCCATATCCAGAAGGATCTCGAAGTGGTGGCCCTACGAAACAACAATGCAGCTTGAAACCTATTCCTGCCCCTTCCCCCCTTCCTCTCTCCACGAGACGTATGTAGAGGTTAAACCGAATTATCCGCAGATTTTTCAAGGGGAAACAAGGCTTCTCGGCATATGCTTATGGCCAGGGAGCTGACAGGACCACAAGCCGTGCAATGTTGGCGCCACGAGTTGGGAGCTTCGACTCCTTCGTGTAGTAATGCCTTACTGGTCCAGGTATCACGCAGCAGCAAAACAGTTTTAGAAATGAGGGCTACAGAGCAGTTCCATCCCTTGCAGTTTTGTAAAACACGCAGAAGCGCGAAGTCGTGAAAAAGTCCGAAGTCTCCTTAGGGGAAAAGTTCGGTCAACTGTTGGGTCGACGCTGGAGTTGCAGTCTTCAAAAAAACTGAGAAATTTTGGGGGTTTCATAATGCCAGGATTCTTTTTGGGTGCGAAAACCCTACCCTCACACTATGTGAGCTATAGTCTGAGATGCGAGTATCCCCCTCAGTAAGCCCTGTAACACTCCCGTATATAATTCCCTAATCCCCTGTATAAACCCCTTAAGGAGTTTGGACAATAGCTTATGTACTGTGCCCAACTCGGCTCAAAGCTTCCCACTCAGTTGCCAAAGCACTCTTTTGCGTCCACGTTAACGTAGAGTACCCGACCATAGCACAGGCTGTTGAAGCAACCTAAGTCAGACTTATTGGTCGCAAAAAAATGCTTGTAATTTGAATCTTTCTTCTGGACGGTTTAGAGGCCAAAAAAAGCTCACAGCATCCCGAAAAAGGGCCCGGCAACCGGTGCAGAGCTTGTGAAGCCCAGAAAATTGTTTCAGACAGTCATAATTGATGTACCGAAGCTTCCGGTAGCCTTGCTGCCACTTCTCTCGGAGGCCGTCCAGAAATTGCGAATTTTCGCCGGCCATTGCTTAAGCCTAGCATTCCTGCCATGTGGTCTGGCTACGGGGCATTAACCAGTTGCAACATTGCATGGTTGTAGTTTCAAATCCATTCGGGGGCGTTTATCCATGCATGTTTTCTGTTGCTTCCTCTGCCTAGTTGTTTACTTGAACCTAACTACAGCAACTATCTAGCTGTTAAGAAACATTAGCAGCCCCTTACTGCAGGCATTGAGTCCAAGGAATCTTCTAATTGCTTTCTGGGTCTTTCAAGGTGTTGTGTCTGCTGGACGGTAGCAGGCTGCGAAATGCTTTGAGTTCAATCCACGGGACAGAAATAGATACCTCGATAATACTGGCCCACCGGCAAGGGGCTGTTTTGGAAGTAGTTGCTCAACATTACCGTGAAATCTTGGAAACCCCACCTGACTGATGTTTTATATACACTCACACCAAAACCCCATAACTGCATCATACCTCATATAGGGCTCAACAGTGCCATTGTCGGACCACCACAATGTAACACGGGTTTTTGAAAGTCATGGAAGTTACTGTTGGGGGGAAGGGGGGGAAGACGGACACAACTTCTTGCACAAGTCATGTCTGCCCGCAGATGTCTGCAAACCTCCCTTGCCCGGAGGCCTTCCTCCTAAACTTACGGGATCCCCCTTCGAACATTCCTAGGATCTCCCGATAGTAGTAGAGGGTATCACATTGATGGAGGTTCCCTTTTCTATGGCCTGGTTCAACTGCTCCTTGATGTAACCTCCCACCAGGAAAGCATGGAGGAAGGGGAGATCAAGAAGGGTTGAGGGAGGGGAAGGTTTGAGAAGGTGAGGCCTAAACCCTAAACCCTAATGCCCATATAAGCTTACCACTACTTAGGGCTCTCAAAGACTCTCAAATTTCCTTAATTCTAAACCTTTCACTTCAAAAATGCAACCACCCAAAAACACCTTGGTAATACTAATAATCCCTAGACCCTAAGTCCCTTCTACCCATACCTCCATACCATCAAGGCCAGCAAGGTAAGGAATTCTAGCCTGGGGGGGTGCTTTTAAGGAACTTAGATTAAGTTACCAAAACATGAGCCCAGAGTACATACTAGGGTGGCGAAGGAACTTAAATTAGGTTATTAGGATAAGGAAGCTCTATATTGTACTATAGACCCAGGTTCTGGTAACTTACTTTTAGTTCCTTAACAGCAACCCAGTGAAACTAGGATCCCTTCGGGTTCCAATTGTTTGGGAAGTCCTTCTCGAGCTTCCGGAGCAAAGGGCAATTCTAACCTCTGCCTGCAAGTCCTCGACATGTTCCGCAAACGTCTTCGGCTTGTCTTCATCCATGCTGCAGTACGCTTGTGCTTATAGTCCCCCTTAAGTAGATAGAATATGGCTTTGGGTATATTATAATAAGATTCCCATAGACCCCATATTCTATCTACGTAAGGGGGACTATAGTTGTATAAGTCTTGCTTCCAATTCTGCAATACCGTGCTCTGCATGCAATATTTTCAAACGTGCCGACATGACTGAGTCCACCATACCCTGACTGTCCACACGCCAGGATTTAGCGCCTGGCCACGCCACAACACCTATGTCGGACATAATGTATATGTAAGCACAACGAGGAACGCAACCATTCATTCAGGCCTGTAAGAGCGATTCCCCTCATCTTCTGAAAGCTTCCGCATGCCTCAAAGCTACTCAGGGTTGGTACTAAGAATCCTTACTAAGCACTACGCGCCTTGGGAATCATGGTCTCAGATTAAGCCAAGCTCACGCAAGACATTTTCTAACACTACCAGTATTGCCCTTCTGTTATGCCCGGCCTTGAATGCCCTGGCACATAACCTGCCAGTTGTGTGTGACGTCAACCTCACCTCAGCATGATAAGTGCAAGGTTTCTATCGGGAATATGGGGAGTGGTCCCTTCAACATGGATTGCACTACTTGGGGTTACTCAGAAAAACTCAGCTATGAAGACCAGAACTACATCATGTTTTGGCACCTCCCCATTCTGAAAAAAATCTCGAGCATGATTAAAAGAGTGGTGAGGTCAGTCGAAATTCTGAAGGCTTCTTTAGGCGGATTTGCCAAGAAGTTGCAAACTGTTTCTCCACATGCTTCAAGACTGCAACTTCTGGAGCTATGGCCATCTGGAAATAAGGAGAATGCACGGAGCATGAAGGATAATTTTCACCTTTCAGATCTTCAAATACGGAGAATGTGCACCTGAGGGACGGTGTCTAAAGAATCGTGTATATAGTTTCCCTTAAGTAGATAGAATATGGGGTATATGGGGATCTTCTTCTAATATACCCGAAGTCATATTCTATCTACTTAAGGGGGACAATAGGAGGATGAACGACGCAACAAGTCTCGAGCACCACACCTCCATCCGACTTCTGCACGAAGCCATAGCTGGCCAGGTCATGAATATCCTGGCTCTTTGCGGGGGTTGAGCAAATTCTAGGATCCCTTACCCATGACAAAGGTTGTGGTATATTGAGGCTTAGGGCTGAGGGTTCCTTACCCATGACAAAGATTATAGTATAATGGGGTGAACATAAAGGCCCCTGCTTTTTAGAAATTGCTATATGGAGGGGATGGTCCACTCCTAGGACCTGCGTGGGTCATGGCGGAGCTACGGGTGCGATACTGTGGCTGCTGGCTACCTGTGTACTTGTGTGTGTTGATGATTCTAATAAGGACAAACCAGAGCTGCGGTGGCTGAGAATGTCTTTGTGCTGTTGGCACTTCCACAGCAACGCGGTATGCTCTACATCAGGGAAGTAGACACAGTCCAATTCAAATCTTCACACACCTTTATAGTCCCCTTTACGTAGATAGAATATGGGGTATATGGGGATCTTACTATAACATAGTTCAATTCCATATTCTATCTACTTGAGGGGGACTATGACATTGCTACTCAACGATTTCTTCATGTTATCCAACTCTAGATTCTATATAATAGGCGCAAATCCAATTCAGATCCTCACACGCATTTATAGTCCCCCGTGGGTCGCTCTGCTGTCCCTAACCAAGGCTTCGTGGAAACGTACGCGTCCTCCTTCTTGGTTGCCGCGATGTGCATGAGCTTCCTTGTCCGCAAGCCGTGGCAACAGAGGAGCCCAGAAGCGCCGAAATGTTTTGCGGAACCCAAGGCTTTTTCCAGGGGTTCAAGGTTTAGGGTTTAGGGTTTAGGTTTAAAGTTTCAGGGTTAGGGGAACGCTAACAAAAAGACAATTGAGCCATAAAGTCTTGGTAGGGGGGCGCCTTTTCATAGGGGCAGGGGCATAGATCGTAGGAGGGCGCCATCAGAGTCTGACACTCAAGGAAACACCTCTGCTTTGCAGTATCTCTCGCACTTGCTCGTTCATTTGACAAAGTCCTTACCTGAAGTAAAGGCGTCGCACCCTTGTCAAATCCAACCTCCTAGTCCTAGATCCTAGATACACCCAAGCTGGCAAAACTGCGCACCATCATGCCACCACCCGACAACTACCATTTATCAGTTCCAACTACTCACAACAAAAACCATGCTACTTTCCAGAAGCAGGGGGACACAACTGTACTATAATCTTTCTTATAGAGACCTATCATGGTACCTCTAATTAGCCTTCCTACAAGAGGGAGGTAGGAACCGCATCAGTCCACCTCCCCTTCAGCTGCTGTCAAGTTGCTTTGGGATGCAGCCCACATTGACACAGGTTCCACCAACGCCCCATGTGGTGCCCTGCATTGCCAAATTCGACAAAAGGCCCCTCCCCTCTGTCCTTAAGCATAAGCATGGCTTGACCGTGGCTTCTTGGGGGCTATGGTGCATATGTTGTTGTTTTTTTCTCTGGGGCTGGCACACGATTCGTGGGAACCTTCAAGGGGGCCCGCATTGTGCCAGGATGGGGGGATCTGGATTCTCTGTTTGAATCAACCGAGGGCCACCGTAATCGCTGAAGCAGGTCCCATCCTTATGAAGGTAGGCCCTCCCCTCCAGAACTCTCACCCCCTCCATGGGGCACCCTGTCCCCAGTCCCCAGCTTGTTTCTCCAGAAAGCCAAACTATACGCAATGCAGGCTGAACAGCGATACTCCATCCCCAAACTGAAAATTCGCATGGATGTTGGATGTGCCCAGCCAGAAGCTTCTTGAAGCCTAGAACAACCTTTCAGGCAATGTCCACGTTCTGGCCAGATCTCCATACACCCCCTCCAACCTTCCTGTGCCCCATTCGCACTCTTGTGACTTTGCTTGCAAGCTGTGCTGGTTGTTGTATGACCGAATTCCCTTCGGGCAGGTAAGGCTTTAGGCAGAAACATGGGCTCCGATTTGGGGCCTCTTGGGGTTGCTGCACCCTAACCAGCATCACCCTGGAAGCGGCCTTGATTGCTCGATAGCTCAGGGAACAGCCAGGCTACATTAAAATCTGAAACACAAATTCAAGGATGTTGAACATAAACTGTACTTATACCCTCTCTATGCGTGAATAACACGTATTGGACGCATGGCTGTTGCCAAACTTAATTCCCTGTAGTGGCCCAACATGATCTTTGCAAGGACTAGGAGTAAATCCCATAGCTCTGAGAAGCCCCACGAACGTCTATCCCAAATGCCTGTGGCGATGGCTTGACAAAGTCTGCAATGGCTATCTTCTTCGACTTGTCCCTGACAAATGTGGCCACTGAGCCAATGCCGGGAATACTCGCATGTTTGATAGCGGAACAGCAATAATGACTGCTTTGGGAATACTAGGGCATACAAGAACTCATCGAAACAAGTATGATGTCTGCAGCAGTGTTTGTTTGTATCAAGTAGTAACACCAAGCAGGAAAGTCTTTGCAGGCAAGAACCAATCATCACACGCTGTAGCTACACAGCCTTTCTGGATCTTTAGCAATTATTACTTCCCAAGCTGCAGTAGAGCACATAGCCCTAGCCTTGCTCCTTTAGGGAGTGAAAGAATGGAAAGGACAATGGAGGCTACTATACCGGGGGGGGGTACTGTAGCCATCCATTCCTCCATTCTGCCTGGACTCCTGGGCCTTGGGCCCGCGCCCTTCTTGTTGAGGTCTGTTTGAATCACCCTACAGTGTAATGACACAGGGAATGATTCGATTCAATCTAGGGACATGATGTTGGTCCAGGTGTCATTGCACGCACAAATGCCGGAAAGCCTTGCAGCTTCCAACGCAGCTGCGCAGCCGCCGCTGCCACCGCCCAAGACGAACAAATCAAAGTCGTAGCTGCCAGGCGGGGCTGGGGCCTCTGCCTGAAGAAGCGTGGATTACACATTGGCCACAACGGTTGAAGTCCAAAGAATTACGTGCACCCCAAAACAGAATCTCAGAAGAACAACTGATTGGGAATGTTATGCTATAGTTATATGAGGGGCTGCAAGAGAATATGATTGGGAATTATTCTACTTGAGGATGACCATCATGCCACCACAAGCGAGCACTGTATGCCTCTGCATCGATGGCGCTTGCCTGGCGTGCGGCAATAGTTCAGAGAAGCTTTTTACACTCATCTGACTTACTGGTGCTTGAGGATGCGTGGGACTACTGGATCCTGATAATACTGCCCTCACTATCCCCAAAACTAGTCCCTAGAGTCACTCCCCATCTCCCCCGAAGCACCACTAAGTTAAGGTGCAAAGGCGCGAGAAGGCCTCAGATACCTAACGCGCCTGACTTTTAATCCATTGCTGCAGATTGTCAGCCGTCAAGAGCAGGGTCCCCCTTTGCAGATGTCTCTGTGGGGTTCAATGCTCTTCTGTAGTAGGTCTTGCGGGCCCCTTATCTTGAGAAACGGCCTCCGCATAGGCATAAGCCATGATCACGCAAACACTGCAAACATGCCCGCTAAATGCGCGCAACAAAATATCTACACAAAAGTTCAACACGTCCTTCCTGGAATAATGTAGCCACTTCTGCAGAAATATTCTGTGTGATTATGTAGTTTTAGGGGGGGAAGGGGTTTCAAGATCGAGGGGAAGGATCATTGGCGCCACTGGACTCGCTGGAAGGTTCCTCAACATCCTCAGAAGCCTTTGGGGCTTTCAGCCAGGGCCCTGGTGTTCCAGCCAACATCTTCTTGATGTTGCCTAGGCGGGGAGTTTTGTGGCGCGTTTGGGGCTTCAAAATGAAACAGGAATAACGAACCGTGAGAATGATGGTGGATTCAGTTTTGCCGCTGCTGCAGTTGTCATTATCGTCGGCTCACCATGGTAGTTTCCCCAAATCGGGGGGACCCCAACATCGACCCTAATATACCATAATTCTTACCGGGCCCCAAAGAGGTACCCCTGATTTTCGGAAACCCCTTATTGCTGTGCTAGACGCAGGGTCTGATGAGTAGCGCTTGCGGCTTGGGGCTTTCGGGCTTGGGAGCTTCTCAACATGGCCGGAGCTCCGGAATACATGAGCTATAGTCTGAACTCCGAATATCCCCCGGAATAGTCCTTATGATGCTCCTCTAGGTATTCACCTATCGCGCCCCCTTTAACAAGGAGTTTAGACTGTGGCTCATATCTGCAAAAAGCAAGACCTGCACTTTTCGAGGTGCTTGGTTGTTCTTCAAATTGTAGAATCAGTGAGATAAGAATGCAAACCTAAGGCGTCCAACGCCCACTTACCTGCTGTTGGAACATTGTTAAGTACATGGAACAAGAAACATGCAAATCTACTGTCAAAAGCCATCCGGTTGCGCCGTGTTCGTATCACGAAAAGCCCAGCCATCGCCAGCCAAGGCAAGTACATGGCTACAAAAATTGCCGACGGAGTGCCTTCAGGGAATGGCCCTAAGCCCATAACCTACTATAGTCCACCTTAAGTAGATAGAATATGTGGTATATGGGTATCTTATTATAATATACCCAAAGCCATATTCTATCTACTTAAGGGTGACCATATAATATTCTATGATATTCTAGTCTATACTGAAAAGATACTGCACTATACTACTATAGACTATGCTATACCATAATGTACTATAGAACGGCAAGCCTGTAGAGGAGGAGAGCAACAGTAGCAGGAATAGAATTGGCATCCATAGGGCATAGAAATTCAAGTGAGTAGCGCTTTTTTTGGTGGTTGAACCTAGTAAGATAATATTCCTTATATAAAATACTATACCCCTAGAGGAGGTTAGGATCTTACTCTATATTGGGTACCATAGTATCCCCAAATTACATACTACTCAAGTAGGAGGAGCCGAAGCAGGAGTTCAGTGCAAGAAGCAGCAGCAGGAGTTTTTTTTGCCAAATGCCAAAGACAATAAGCAGGCTTGCGTCGAAGACACCCCCCCTAAATGCTGAACCCCTAAATCTGGAACCCACACTCAAGCCCCCAAACCTCGAACTCGAAATTGCCTTCATGAGTTCCCCCGTTTCCTCTTTGATTGGGGAACCCTAAACCCCCAAACCCTAAACCCCTAAACCCTAAACCCCTAAACTTCTAAACCCCTAAACCCCAAAACCCTAACCCCTAAACCCTAAACCCCTTGCAAGCGGACCGAAACACCAGCTGGCAAAGCACTGCAGGGGCTTCTCCCTTTTTCAGCCCGAAAGGTGCTCATGACGAATGCGTTCAGGAGCAGGTCAAGCTTTCAAGCTTGCACAAGCCCAGAAATATAAAAATTTTCCAGGCTACCCGCTGGTGGATTCACTTGTCACGTCTAAGGACCCTAGTCCTAATTGCTTCCGCCTACGACCGGACAAAAGCTCAGGGTCGTACACAATTCGCCATTGGCTACCCCTCCGAAGATACTCAAAGAGTTGATGAAGTTCAGACTCTTTAGTTAAAGAGTTGGCAAGCTGGCTATCCCCATTGACCCATCAAATCTTGACTCTGGCAGACTGAGTGCTCTCCTTGAGGCATAAAGTTTCAATGTCAATACGCTTTTCAGCTCCCTTTAAAGTCAACACCGTCTGATTCAAACGATCATACAGATTCTTGCTGTCACTAATCAAAACACCATCCACTTGATTAGCAGCATCATCACAACAACACATTCACCGGATGTCCAAGGAACTCACTTGCTTGGAACCGAACAGCGTACAACTCATCTTCAGCATCCACTGCTGCTCGGGCTTCGGCAGCCCCAG